GCGACCGCGTCGAAAGCAAACGCGCACAATGCCGGCGAGGCGCCATGTTGAAACTAAAAGCCCGGGACAACACACGAGGTGGGTGTAGGTGACATGCTCTTATTCTATAGTATACACAATGATTGTAGAGGATGTAGAGGATGTAGAGGATGTAGAGGATGTAGAGGATGTATAGGTGCTATAGGGAGGAATAAAGGCTTACTATGCCCTCGCAGGAGTATGAATAGGGATAGGGTTAGGAATAGGGACTCGAAGATGTACTTATACGAATACATACATATGCACACACAGTATACTAAGACATACAAATGCTATCTCTACTTCTGTTCTGAGGTAGGTTAACGTAGGTTAGGTACTGTACAAACCTTGCCACATTTGGTGTATTCCACAGCTGTCTCGCGAAACAGAAAGTAGACGTGATCGTCGTGTGCAAAGGAACCGACGAAACGAGCCTCTGAAATAGATACAAGTACGTATTTATTCACTTCATCCATGTGACAATCTGACAGGTAGTGCATTCCGCGGCGTATTGCACATGAGCGCGTCCTCAATGCGCTCAAATAAAAAGTCACAATTTGACGAAAAAATGATTCGATATATTTGTACATTTACTCGAGAGTGCGTTTTACTTATAGTAGGACCGCTGTGTATTATCCACTGTTTGTTTTCTAAAGCTAAAACGGGGCGGGCGAAATCAAATATATCAAACAATCACTGCGACGACGCAATTCTTTTCGACAAGCTTTTTCAGAAACTGCTTCTTTTTCCTGATTACCTCAGAGCAGCACCAAAGCGAGTTATTAAGTTTTCCTACTAGATTGCGGACTAAACGCGCGCGCGGGGCAGCTAAACTCCCGTTGATAGGAAAACAAATCGAGTCAGATCCCCCCCCCCATCCCCGCTCACTGACTACTCTCTGCGCTACAACAAAACAGGAGAAGAGAAAATAGGAATTGAAATAGAAGAGCATCTCTCGATACGCGATTTGCCGCAAATCGAAATTGATAAATGATTATCCGAGACCGCGGATCGCGGCCGCACTAGACGGCAGCTGACGTGCGGTGTGTGCAAGACACTGTAAGAATGGGGTGGTCACTTTCCCCCGGGCGTAGAGGGAGGGTGCCGCTACGTGGCAGCACTAGTCACTTCGTACACTTCCGTCATTCCACAGTTACACTTCCATGCTAGACATGGCCTTATTTCCCTAACCCTAACCCTAATCCTAACTCTAACCCTAACCCTAATCCTAACACTAGTGCTGCCACGTAGCGGCACCCTCCCTCTACGACCGGGGGAAAGTGACACCGGTAATATTGACGCGGCGACATTCTACTCCAGCGCCCTCTACATCTTCAGACGCGAACACCCGAGGACGCACGCACTTGGAACAGAGTCAGAGGGAATCGAAATAGGGTCGCCGTTGCCGTGGCACCCGATACATGAAGGTTATCGCGTGACAGAGAACGCGCGTCATAGCCATCGCGTTCTCGATGCCCCCTCTGCCTCTGTTCCAGGTAACTGTGAAGAGGAGTACTCGTGGATGGTGATGTCGTGACGCAGCATCAACCTCGTCTGCGTTTATACAGCTGCGAGATGCGCACGCCAGGCCAGCCTCCGGTACACGTGAGCGATGGATGCCTGCCTGGCGAAGCAGCGGGACGCATCGTTTATGACGACGACTCGTGGAAAGAGACTGCGGCGGTCTCATCACACGCGCCGGAATAAAATATTTATTGCCCCGTCTACGGCTGTTATCGGTGGCGCGCAGAATAATGGTATTCACCGACTATTGTCACGCGGAGTTGCTTTGGACGTATATTACAGCACTAAACGACGCATTGCTACTACCTACGCGGGCAGAATGCCGAGTAGCGTATAACGGCGGCCCCCAGATCATTGTCTGCAGCTGCAAACAGATGCAATATTTCTATCAGGAGAAAACACTTGTTCCGCAAGTATTGCAACCTGACGTCGTGCGAACTGCAACAAGCACGGGAAACTGTAGGTTGATGCAAGAAGTGTGACAAGTATTGGGTGTGACAGCGACGTGTTAAGTGACCACGTGTACGTGCATATACAATGACAGTGACAGTGGCTGTAGCCATGAGGGTGACCATGACCGTGAGAGTGTGTGAGAGTGAGCGTGACTATAACTGTGACAGTGACTGTGATCGTGATAGTTACAGTAAGCATGACTGCGATGGCAACACTGACAGGTACCGTGACAATGACAGTGACAGTGATAGTAAGCGTGACTGTGACAGCGATCGTAACAGTGAGTTGAGCGTGACAGTGATCGTGACAGTGAGCGTGAGCGTTACTGTGACAGTGATCGTAACAGTGAGCATGAGCGTGAGAGTGATCGTGGCAGTGACAGTGAGCACGAGCGTGACAGTGAGCGTGAGCGTGACAGCAACAGTGAGCACGAGCGTAACAGTGAGCATGAGCGTGACAGTGATCGTGACAGTGACAGTGAGCACGAGCGTGACAGTGAGCGTGAGCGTGACTGTGACAGTGACAGTGAGCGTGAGCGTGACAGCAACAGTGAGCGTGAGCGTGAGCGTGACTGTGACAGTGACAGTGAGCACGAGCGTGACAGTGAGCGTGAGCGTGACTGTGACAGTGATCGTGACAGTGACAGTGAGCACGAGCGTGACAGTGAGCGTGAGCGTGACAGCTAGCAACAGTGAGCATGACCATGAAGCGCGAGTGCGGCGGCTACTCACCGTTCAGCCAGTCTATGTTGCGGCTCATCGTGCGCACGGGCTCGCGGTAGATGATGTAGTCGCTGGCGATGAAGTCTCGCACGGTCGCCGTGTACAGCTCGCCGCCGACCCACACCGCCGTGCTGTCCTGCTCCGGATCGAGCGGGCTCTTCGCCTCGCCCGGGCTCTCGCTCACCATCACGTACTGGTATTGCTGCGGAGAGAGAGAGAGAGAACAACGTTGACCGCTCGCTCACTGACCACTCGTTGACCGCTCGACAACCGGGCTGTCATGGCGCTCTCCGCCTCATCGGTTTTATGATTTACGCAGAAAATGAATGCACCGAAACGCGAGATTTCGTGGTATTTTGCAGCGGAGAAGCTCGCTTAGAATTCGCTTTACACTGAGATCTGGTTTAATGTAGGTCCTTTACGCATGATTTCACTGTCGCAGGGGTTTTTGTATTATACGACGAATCAGTCTTGGACGACAAAGACGAAATATTACACAGACCATGACGGATTAACTGTGAAAGTAAACCAACATTATATCTTAGTTCCATGATTCGTGGATTTATTTCTGGATGGTGAGATTACTGGGTCTTTACTGGTATTATTTCCTCTTTTAGTCTAATTTTCAATATTGTTTGCTCTGAGGAGTTTTAAAATTTATTTAAATCAGACAACAGCATACTTAAGGAGTTAATCTACTTTCGCATGCGTAATTATGCGTGTATTAAAGAATGTGTATTTAATTATTAAATGAATTCGCTTAAGACGATTTTACATGACACTGCAATTTTGATGGACATAAATAACGTGTTAAGGTAACATCCATTCTCTAAGCTAACGTACAGTATGTTACGTAAGATGTAGAGGGATGTAGATAATAACATCATTCTTGTAACAAACAAACTATGTATTTTTAAGTCTTTTTAACGATCTTATATCAGCGGAAATACGACACTGCAACGTGGCACATGTAGGCACATGGAGTATGAGGGGGCGTAATATCAGGAGTGTATAATATAGAGTCTTTATACACTCCTGGTAATATCCATCCGGCAAATCTATATCTGTATTTCTTCTTTAACGCCGCCCAATTATACGAAATCTCATCTTTCTGCCAACACATATATGACACTGAGTGGGTGTTTCCGAGACTTCAGGCTGCTCTTGATTGCCGATATTTTGTCTGAGTAGCTGCAAAGAACACCTGCGCTACTGTGTGTAAGGAGGTTGCTGCAGGCTGTGTGCTGGCTGCTACTTACTCGTCAGATAGGTCGACTGCAACAATGGCCAGCAGCAGTACGATAACAAGCGGCTGAATGCGAGACGAAGCAGCGGCCATGTCACTGCAGATTCACCTCCCCGTGCGCGGGATCGCGCATATTTGTTTCATCCTTGCATGATGCATCAGCAGCAGCGGCGGCGGCAGCAGCAGCAGCAGCAGCAGTAGCAGCAGCAGTAACAGCAGCAGCAGCAGTAACAACAGCGGCAGCAACAACAGCAGCAGCAATAACAGCAGCAGCAGCAGCAACCGCAATAACAGCAGTCGATGCAGCAGCAGCAGTAGTAGTAGCAGCATCACCAGCAGCAGTAGTAGCAGTAGCAGCAATAACAGCAGCAGCAGCAGCAGCAGCAGCAGTAGCAGCAGTAGTAGCAGCAACAGCAGCAGAAGCAGCAGCAGCAGTAGCAGCAGTAGTAGCAGCAACAGCAGCAGTCGCAGCAGCTCTAGCAGCAGCAGCAGCAGCAGCAGAAGCAGCAGCAGCAGCAGTAGCAGCAGCAGCAGTCGAAGCAGCAGTAGAAGCAGCTATGCATCAGCGGTAATGAACTCGATCGACGTCGTCAACGCGACACGTGGGAGCGCGCGCCGCACTCTTTTGTTAATATTCACACGGAGGTGCTGAGCCGTTCGTCAAAACACGTGTATTTCAACCATTAGCGACGATAGTTGTGTGCGTGTGACGGACGCGCTTTCATCGGGTGGCTGGGGAGGCAGAGAAATATCGTACGCACGCACGACCGACGGCGAGACGAAATGTTTGTATGCTAAATGTCGAAACTGTGTACAGGCGGGAGGGAAGTAATTGGCGGCTGTGAAGGAGCTCGTCAAAATGCTGATGCGTTATTCTGTATACGCAATGTTTGGTTATATGTCGTTGATGCACGCGATGCAGTAAGCGCGGCACACCAGCCGATTTATCACGCAATTTGATAGGCCCGATAAAAATCAGCCGATATCGGGTAGGCGTGCGCGTTCATTTGTAGACGATTTTACTTACGATTATTTTTATCGGGTGATCGTTCCAAATCAAACATGTTTGATTTTGAAGCGATTATTTTGAAGCGATTTTTTGAACAGCCAATAGCTGAACGTGCCCGTGTCACATGACATTCAAAATGGCGCCTACCATCAACAAAATAACCAATTTTATCGTAGGTGTGCGGGTGTTTATCGGAAGGCATCGCGCTGAGCCGATTTTACAAATGATGAAATGATTTTTTAATCGGACCGATTTCTGGGAAAATATTTTTAGGTGTGCGCCGACCTTTAGCGACATCACGCAGGCTGCCCCACTGTGTTAACTAACCACACGGTGTCTGGTCAGCGTGGAACGCCTACACATACATACACGAGGTTTGGGGGGCAAAATTTAACATGAGCTGATGTGGAACTCAACGTTAATCTTTAACACGAGTTATGGTTTGACACGACGGTTACTCAGCAGTCAAGTTTACATGACATTGACAGTGTCAAAATGGATAGAATTCAGATGAAACTGGTACAATGTTTAATTGAGGTTGACATGGAGTTAACGTGAAATTGACAAACAGTTTAGGTAGGGTTGACATAGATTGACACAGTTTATGGGGTTGGCATGGAGTTGACACAGTGTTTAGGTGGGGTTGACATAGATTGCAACAGTTTAGGCAGAGTTGACATGAAGTTTACACAGTGTTTAGGTAGGGTTGCCATAGATTGACCCAGTTTAGGCGAGGCTGATATGAAGCTGACACCGTAGTTAAGTAGAATTGACATAGACTGACACAGTTTAAGTGGAGATGACATCAGTTGACACAGCTTAGGTGGGGTTGACATGGAGTTTGGTAACGTACCGATTCGTCGAAGACATATTCCCTGCACATCGGCTTGAAGGCGTTGGTGCCACAGATGAGCGCTTTGTTTGTTCCCACTTTCTTCAACACCCGGATAAAGTTGTGACACTTGTACTAGAACAGACAACAAGAAATACTGATTTGAGACACAATACAATAAATGAGAATACAATACAAATATATATACAAAAAAATTAAATTGGGGGGAATGCATACTGGAGAAAACGCATTGATTACTTAAGCAAACACGAGAGTACACGCACACGCGGAAACCCGATTACAAGCAACCCGATTATTTTCTAACAGCAATGTCATAGAATATTCAACAGCATATTTATGCTGGGTGTGAATTACATTTCATGATTTGCATCACCCAATCATAATTCAGATATAATCATCAATTTGCGATAGGGGGGCCATTACTGTGATTAAGTGTCCTCTGTCTGTGAAATCTGGACATCATTGGCCACAAGCCAGGGCGGCCGGCTCAGCGGAATTATCAATGCTTCACATTTCAATAGTCGTTAATCTTCGTCGCTTCATTGCTGCTATGTAATCTAGAAGGCTATTACATCTAGAGCACGGACGAGGCTTCTGTACAAGGCGGGAACTAGCACTGGCCATCAGCATTATTACATGCGTAGAGCTTCATCCATTATGGTGCACGCGTGTTATCAGGAAAACCTCTGCTGCGAGCGAATAACAGGCAAATACGTTAACACCTACAAATACGTTATATGCATGAAAAACAGGAAAGGCAGAACGAGGAGGAGGAAAGCAAAGATGGGAGGAGCAGAAGCAGAAACGGAACTGAAGCAACAGCAGCAGAAGAGGAGGAAGAAAAAGAAACCGAAAGAGAAAAAGATGAAGATGATGATGAAAACGAGGAATGAGAAGAATGGAAAGAAAAGCAAATCGAAGAGAGAAGCGAAAACAAAGTAAAATGGGATAAGCAACATTCCGAAGAAACTAACGCGGAAAAAGAAAGATCTATGCACTCCCTGAACAGCACTGAAAACCCATCGTGCACGCTCCCATCCCCTGAAGCACCTACGCGCAATCCGATTCTACATTACACGCCTTTAAATGCGCAATAAAAGTACTAATGTTGTTTCCACAATGAGCGAGTCAACAGGAAGGTTAGCCTCGCAGGTAAATCACTCGTTTCATTAAAACGACAGCCTGCCCTTTCCCGGCCCGAGCCGCAAACAAACGTTGCATGAGAGCTCGCTTGAGCGAAGCGAAGCCTCTTCATGGGTAAACAGGCCGAGGCAATATGAGTGGCGCTGTGCAAACTCGGCGACCTATTCAGCACGCCGTTTGTACAGGCCACACCGCGGCAAAAGGAAGTCGGCTGCTGAAGGGGGGAAAGTACGCATGCGTGCCATCCGCGCCTACTCAATCCTACCACGCAGTTCTGCCTGCCTGCCTGACGCGCACGACAGGATGCGAGCATGTCGCCTGAGTCATTCATCATACTGGTAAATTCTGCGTAAGGCGAGCGAGCGAGCGCTGGTTCCTACTACATCTGACACGCGCTCTAAATTCCCGAATCCTGACATCCTTAACCGCGCACGCGCGTGCACAACGCACGTCTAAATTCGTTCTTCCGTTCGTGTGGATAGTTTCTACGCACCCTGCCTAACGAGTAATGGTAATTTAGACCTGATATATGTATATGTATATATATATATATATATATATAAGTTTAATTTCAATTGATTCTATTTATGTATGTATCTTTCCTATAGGCGTCAAACCGCCCAACTGCGATCTGGATGCAATTTCACAGGCGCACTCTTATAAGCCCGGGATGTTCCTTACTGATAAAAAAACCGCCAAACGTCAAACTCCACCGAAAAGTGCCGTGTAAAAACCCCTCAATTGTGATGCTTCACAACAATGTCAGCACTGACTGAGCAGTGCTGGCACACACCGAAAAAATCGATCACTCATTCCATCAGCTTGCTGGTATTGGTGAAATCCGAAACCTGATACTAAAAACGAGAGCACAACCAGGAACGCTGTTCAGTAGGGTTAGCGACTGCCTTGTTTATCAAGAGCTTTTGAAATGAGAAGTCAACCCATCGTAGCATGCGTGCTTAGAATATACTTTTCTTATTACAACCATATTATCTATTATGTTCCAGGGTTCTAAGCGGTTGGGTTGTGCCTGTCATATAAATGTGCATAACTAACCGTTGTTTACCATGCTTACTTTATCTGATTACACATGATTTGTAAATATTTATAGAGATTCACCTATACGTTAGTATGTATTATCATATAGTTTGGAGGAGTACGATTGCTCAAAACATCACGGCATTAAAGACTGCTAACCAAGTGAGTAAACATTCTTTTATAATTACAAATTGTCCTCGCCACATCCTGCGTGTCTCTATAACTATTATACGACTTTCTTTTGTATTCATTGCTACCATTTCAGAATGCCATTGTACCATTCGAAGCTATGCTTTTCGTGATTCAGTAGAAAATTCCCTTTATTTGCAAATGTGGGCATTGGTTGCGCGCCAAGGCATGCACTAGACAATATTCCAATGACACAGACCCACTCGCTGGCCTGTCCTCTATCTATACTTGATATACCAATTTCGCTTTATTCATCCTAACGATCTGACAATGATAGCGTACCGTGGTGAGCTCAACAGTGTTCGAGACGCAGCAATCTCTACATATTCCCCACAGAAAAAATGAAGCACGCAATACCATTGGTTTATTCAAGCGGTTTTTCAAATGAAACTGTCACCCTCATTCGTACATGCTGTATAATGAACTTTTTCCTCATTTTGCACCATTATTACATTATGTTCCAGGGGTTCTAAAGTTGGTTCTGCTGTCCATATAAATGTCTATACGTAACAGTTTTTCCCCATGCTTATTACATATTAGACTCGATTTGATAAAATATTGAATGTTTTGCATGTTATAGTGTCGATTTTACCCAATGTTCCTATTCTGTCAATTATTAGTAGTAAAATTATAGCCACGATTATTACCCAGCGCAAGCAGGGTACCCCGCCAGCTAGTATATATATATATATAGTAATATATAATAATATATATAGTATATATGTGTCCACATGCGTCTGGAAAATACGACATCAACTACAGTTTACGCCCTCGCATTATGAATTATTTGTCATACTGACATAATGGATTCAATGCATCAAGTAACCCGTCTGTCAATGCCTAGTGCAGCAGTTATTCGACTGTTGACGGTTGACCCGTCAATAACCCTGGACCGTCAGAAACCTGACCGTCAAAATCTGGATCGCGTCAAAACGCTGGACTGGAGGGTCACCAGGGTACGGTCCGTCAGAACCTGTTTAGGTTAGGTTAGGGTTAAGGGATTAAGGTTAGGGTTCAGGGTTCAGTACCGTCCGTACCTACCTACTACGTAACTACGTCGACGACTGAGCAAATATGACGCCGTTACTTCTCTCGCCGAGTGAATGGCCCCAAAATTTTTCCAAACGTTTACCTCAAGCATTTAGTTGAAACATACTAAAATCATTGCGCGCCCCCGCCCAGACCGAGTTATAGAGTCGATGAGTATCACGTACATGGTTCATCGAATAGGATAGTCAGTTTGATGCCTATTCATTATCTATTTATTTAGCATAAATATAGGCAAAACACGCGAAGGACAACATCACAAACGACGCTAAAAATAAATACAACTTCAGAAGTAAAATGGACAGGACTGCACGCTTTATAGAAGCATTTCCCTGTGACAAACATGACCGCGCAGGTTTTGACTGTGGGTCCCGTTTTCCAGTATTTGACGGTCCCATGGTTTGACGGTCAGGTTTTTGACGGTCGCATGTTCTGACGGTCCCAGGTTTTGACAGGGAGCCGTTGGAAGGAGACCCGGCCACGTTCACGCTCGCCACCAAACGTCTGACCCTACTCGTGCAACAGTCACTGGCTCGCGTGCGCTGCGTAATGGTACGCGGAGAAAAACGCAGATCCACAGACGCGAGAAAACATCGATAGCGTCGAGACGATTGCGCCAGCTTTGTCCACTATATAACCATCGACAGGTTCAACTGGACAAACAGTGCTATCTTTCGTACGAAGGCACGCACTACAGCGAACTATTCTCGACACGTGACGTCCTTTAACTCTGTGCGCGCTAAAAGTACGCTTAATTGAACCGATCTTAGAAAGAAGACTTTAACTGCCGTCTTAAAAGAGACGTGGCGGAGGAACAGCGATGACATCCTCAACGACATATGCTCGACGACGACGACGCTCGCCACGTCCACAAAGACACGTACTCGCAGGCGCGTGACTCCACGACACATCGATGTCCTTAATATACATTACACTCCTACACGACGAGGACAGAAAATAGAAATTGTTCGTCATTCGCACGTCCGACTCCGCGCGCCAAGTATTTGCCCGCAACAATGCGATCGAGTCACTTGAAACAGTGAAGCCATTAACAATTCAGCGTAGGCGACGTTTTCCTCCTCTCCTCCCCCCTCTGTCTCGTCTCTACAGTGTCAGACTGCCTCCTTAGTACAACCGCATCTATTATTTAGCGTGGCGTCATCGCACCACAACCGCCCCGCGTCTGATGCGCTGATACGATTTCGCTGGATCCTCTAGCAGCCGCCGTCTCCAATTGATGCTCGAAGAGGACAGATATGGCGTGACAAACGGCGCGTAATTAGCTGGTCCGCTATTTACTGGATGAGCCGGGCTACTGTATACACACAGTGCATGCAGGTACCCACATAGCGAGTCTCATGTACGTTACGCCTGGCTTCACGAGATGCTAGCTCGTTGTTGCGTGCTGCTGTACGCATATACGCTCTAACGACGAGGCGCCAAGCGGGAGAAAACCCAACAGCTGTTGTAACACAGGAAGGGGAAGGGCAACGGCACTGCACGCCCCTCTCTCTCTCTCTCTCTCTCTCCCCTCATCTGCCTCGTCTCGCGCCCCTATATCTCTCTCTCTGCGCTCTCTCACCCTCTCTCTCTCTCTCTCTTCTCTCTCTCTCTCTCTCTCTCTCTCTCTCTCTCTCTCTCTCTCTCTCTCGTCTCTCTCCTCTCTCTCTCTCTCTCCTCTCTCTCTCTCTCTCTCT